ATATATATATATATATATATATATATATATATATATATATATATATATATATATATATATATATATAACTTTTACGTTCCGTGATTCCAACGTTTTAAGCCACTAGTCTATAGAAATGCCACATGGAACGTTTCGTGATTGTGCACGTTTTTCATGTCTCTGAGAACATTTACATCCAGTGGACCTTGCCAATTACGTCACGTGACTCAGGCTTGTTCCCTAACGTTGCAACTCGTCCTAATAGCACGTCGCATTCTGACGTATACTCCACGTAAGGCTAGAAATCGTCGTACTAGAAAATGGAAGCGGTTCGCGAATTTGACTCGCTGTCCCGTTTTCTGTTTTGGGTCCTCTGGTAGGTTAGGATAAGGTCACTTTAGTACGCCAGTTTCTTGACGTTAGGGAAGCTTTAGAAGGACGAGCTGAACCTTGAACGCACGTGATGCGTCACGTGACGCATCACGTGCGTCACGTGATGACCTGTCAGGTTTGAACAGTGAAAGCTAATTAACCTGCCTTTACACGTCCCTAAGTCAGCCTCCTTGAGGTTACCTTGAGGTGCTTCCGGGGCTTAGCGTCCCCGCGGCCCGCTCGTCGACCAGGCCGACCAGGCCTCAGGGGAACCAACCCAACACATTATAGACTTTGAGAAGAACTGTTAAGTTAATCTCCCTTCACTCTCCCCCTTTCTCCTCCCCTCCCTTACCCCTTCCCCCTCACACGTGGGGGGGAGGGGGAGGGCACACCCGCCCTTCCCAACAGCCCTCACCAGGGCGTGGGCTGCCAATTAATGCATAATGATGCGTGTCGAACCCTAATGCAACTATTAGAGAGATTGTTGAGAGACGGATACTGTCAACACCCCTGTTGTGGGCAGACACCCCCTGTTGTGGGCAGTGGCACCCCTGTTGTGGGCAGTGGCACTCCTGTTGTGGGCAGTGGCACCCCTGTTGTGGGCAGTGGCACCCCTGTTGTGGACAGTGTTACCCCTGCTGTGGGCAGTTGCACCCTGCTATGTGCAGTGGCACTCCTGTTGTGGGCAGTGGCACCCCCTGTTGTGGGCAGTGGCACTCCTGTTGTGGGCAGTGTCACCCCTGCTGTGGGCAGTGGCACCCTGCTATGTGCAGTGGCACTCCTGTTGTGGGCAGTGGCACTCCTGTTGTGGGCAGTGGCACCCTGCTATGTGCAGTGGCACCCCCTGTTGTGGGCAGTGGCACCCCCTGTTGTGTGCAGGCACCCCCTGTTGTGGGCAGTAGCACCCCTGCTGTGGGCAGTTGCACCCTGCTATGTGCAGTGGCACCCCTGTTGTGGGCAGTAGCACCCCTGCTGTGGGCAGTGGCACCCTGCTATGTACAGTGGCACTCCTGTTGTGGGCAGTGGCACTTACCACGAATGAACCGACAATTTCCCTGCATATTCCTCAATGTATTCCTTACAACCTAGAAGCTTCTCCTCCACAAATCTCGTCCCTCGTGAAGCGTCATTGGGTCCTGTGGCACAGTAGTCTACGTCCTCGGCTCGCAACGCAAGGGCCCGCGGGTTAGAGCCTGGGCAGAACAGAAACGGTTGGGCACGTTTCGTTTCACCTGGTGCCCTTAATTATTTAACGGGTAAATAGGTACCCGGTAGTTAGGCAGCTGTTGTGGTGTGGTTGCATCTTGGGGATAGATCAGTAGCAGGTCAAGGTCAGGACCGCAGCAGGTCAAGGTCAAGACCGCAGCAGGTCAGGTCACGTCAGGTCAGGACTGCAGCAGGTCAGGTCACGTCAGGTCAGGACCGCAGGAGGTGATGTGAGGTCAGGAGCAGGTTAGGGGTACCACGCGCCTCCACGACAACACCTCCAGGAGCCTCCACAGTGACCGTAACCCTTCCTCCCCTCAACCCCCGCACACGCGAGAGTTCATTAAGTTCATAGGATGCAGAGAGTGATGGGTGGGAGGCCGGAGGTTTTGTTTGCACGGCGGCTTAACTGGGGTTATTATGACCAGGATTAATAGGCTGATTGATCCAGGCGGCGGCGAAGGATGGGAGCGAGGGAGGCGCGGGTGGAGGCCGGCGCGGGTGGAGGCCGGCGCGGGTGGAGGCAGGCGCGGGTGGAGGCAGGCGCGGGTGGAGGCAGGCGCGGGTGGAGGCAGGCGCGGGTGGAGGGAGGCGCGGGTGGAGGGAGAGTCGTGGAAAGGAGGCGGATAGCAATCCTGAAAATAGACCTATGAAATTTGGGAGTACCACAGTAGACCCGTTGCTCCATACTTGGCAGATCTCGTCTAAATCCACCTCTCAAAATCCACCAATACAGTATGTATACTTTTCTGATCCATGCTTGAAGTCTGTTAAACAGTGTTGACTCGCAAGTGCTAGTATGTGGCCCCATTGCACTCATCCACAGCCCTATTTCCAACCCACTACTTCCTTATATATCCCTCTAAACCCAAATTTATCCAGCTTGTACCTCTTGGCTTTTTCTCAATGTGATCTATTGATGACCATTACTAATGCGGTACACAGCATCACTGTCTTTCACCAGGCTAAGAAATGTATACTTATCAATATTAAACTGCATTTGCCGTTATTTAAACCAGCCCGTTCTCGCGAATGTTCGCAACGTCAATAAACTGTTGTACTAAGGTGCCCTTATGCTAACCTACCAGAAGACCCACGAACAGAAAACGGCAAGTCTGTCAATTTCGCGAGCCGTTACCATTTTCAAGTACGACAGGTTTTGGCCTTAGGTGGAGTGTACGTCAAAATGCGACGGGCTATTAGGAGAACGGGTCGATTCCGCCCCTCACCTGATAGAACTACAGTGTTAAATGTCACTACAGTGTTAAAGTCTTTGTCTTACTTTAAGAAAACCAGTAGACCCAACACAGAGCTTTGTGGGACCCAGCACAGAGCCCTGTGGGACCCAACACAGAGCCCTGTGGGACCCAACACAGCGCCCTGTGGGACCCAACACAGAGCCCTGTGGGACCCAACACAGAGCCCTGTGGGACCCAGCACAGAGCCCTGTGGGACCCAGCACAGAGCCCTGTGGGACCCAGCACAGAGCCCTGTGGGACCCAGCACAGAGCCCTGTGGGACCCAGCACAGAGCCCTGTGGGACCCAGCACAGAGCCCTGTGGGACCCCACTAGTCATAACCGCCTACTCCATCTTCACTCCCTGTGACATGTCTGTCAGCTATGCCTTCAGTGTCCCGTCCAGGCTACTTTTTTATTGTTATTTTCTACCACAGACGTGGCCACACATTTACAATGCTAACCAGAATAAACACATTTTCTCCTTTCCTCCATGTTCAGGGTGAGAGATCTGTTAAACATATAATCCAGGGATTTATTGAACAAACGTCCAAGCTATGGACGGACGAGGAACAAGGAAGAATTTCCAATGGCCTCGGTAGATCAGATGGGCTGCTTCGATTCATACGTCCCTGATTAAACAATATCCGGTCAATCAGATCGATTGGCAGATCGAGAGAACAGCCTGAAATCAGAGGGTATTAGTTCAACGTGAATATTTTGTAACTATATTTCTTTACCTATTTACTCTCCTATTTCTTCCAAAACCGATGCCTCGCTACTTAATGAAAGCGAGAAATAGGGGTACCAATGAAAATGAGAAATAAGGGTACCAATGAAAGCCAGAAATAGGGGTACCAATGAAAGCCAGAAATAGGGATACCAATGAAAATGAGAAATAAGGGTACCAATGAAAGCCAGAAATAAGGGTACCAATGAAAGTGAGAAATACGGTGCCGAAGAATGAATATGACGACGTATTTTACGAGAGAGCAGAGGTGGCATATTAAGGCCAGAGTGTGGAGGAGGAAGGAGCTCGCTCTCATTACAAGGGGATTGTAAATTAATTTGTCAGCCTCGCGGAGATGCTACCAGGCGTCTCCTCTACGTGGGCTGAGGCGTCTGAGCAGGGGAAGGGGGGGGGGGGGGGGGGAAGGGGGGGGGAAAGAGAGAGAGAGAGAGAGAGAGAGAGAGAGAGAGAGAGAGAGAGAGAGAGAGAGAGAGAGAGAGAGAGAGAGAGAGAGAGAGAGAGAGAGAGAGAGAGAGAGATAGAGAGAGAGAGAGAGAGAGAGAGAGAGAGAGAGAGAGAGAGAGAGAGAGAGAGAGAGAGAGAGAGAGAGAGAGAGAGAGAGAGAGAGAGAGAGAGAGAGAGAGCAATATTGTCCATCATCTATAACTATTTTCCTGAACTCAAAGTGAGAACCAGTGATGCTTGCCCCCACATCACCTGACTGCGAGCCGAACGCTTTCATGACCTGGGAATATTAAAGTCCTCACACTAACGTAAACATTAAAATATCCCAATAACGTAAGTAGTTAATATAAAGCTCTTATATAACGAATGGACTTCAAGTCCCTCTCTGTAGTGATCTTGTAGAGGCAACGATGCCCTACACAGTACGAATACTAGAAAGCTTGATTGAATTCCTAATATGTAACATAAAGGTCAGATATCCTCCCCCTCCTCTCTCTCTCTCCTCTTCTTCTTTTTGAGGGGTAGAAATAATTCCAGTTATCGGGGACAGGAAGCCTGCTGTATTTAGACTAATAGAGCCTCCCCTCCACCCTATACATAGGCCAACATCCTCGGTTCCTGCCCGGCTTCGGAGGAGATCGAAGAAATCTACAGCCTCCAGGGAACACACTCTCTTGGCGTTCCTCTTAATGTTGACATTTTATAGCCGTTTAGTTGTGCAACTGTGTAACCTTGCGTAGGTTACACAGGTAAGAGAAGCCGATACTCATATGAGTTTAGAGTCGATCAATAAGTCTCCCTCTGAAGACTTGTGGCGCTCTGTATTATGTTCTCCGAGGCTATGGGTTCCTTACACACACACACACACACACACACACACACACACACACACACACACACACACACACACACACACACACACACATTCTTGAGGCTTGTTTTATGTTATTTTGTTGTTTTATGTGTTTGTGGGCACGTAGCCCCCCCCCCTCCCCTCAGATGTACTAGTGGGCACGTAATCTTTCCCTCGCTGGCTCTAATGGTGGCTCTAATGGTGGCTCTAATGGTGGCTCTAATGGTGGCTCTAATGGTGGCTCTAATGGTGGCTCTAATGGTGGCTCTAATGGTGGCTCTAATCCTGGCTCTAATGGTGGCACTAATGGTGGCTCTAATGGTGGCTCTAATGGTGGCACTAATGGTGGCTCTAATCCTGGCTCTAATGGTGGCACTAATGGTGGCTCTAATGGTGGCTCTAATGGTGGCTCTAATGGTGGCCCTAATGGTGGCTCTAATGGTGGCTCTAATGGTGGCTCTAATGGCGGCTCTAATGGTGGCTCTAATGGTGACTCTAATGTGGCACGTAATCTTTCCCTCGCTGGCTCTAATGGTGGCTCTAATGGTGGCTCTAATGCTGGCTCTAAAGGTGGCTCTAATGGTGGCACTAATGGTGGCACTAATGGTGGCACTAATGGTGGCTCTAATGGTGGCTCTAATGGTGGCACTAATGGTGGCACTAATGGTGGCACTAATGGTGGCACTAATGGTGGCTCTAATGGTGGCTCTAATGGTGGCTCTAATGGTGGCACTAATGGTGGCACTAATGGTGGCTCTAATGGTGGCACTAATGGTGGCACTAATGGTGGCACTAATGGTGGTACTAATGGTGGCTCTAATGGTGGCACTAATGGTGGCACTAATGGTGGCTCTAATTAGCCAACCCTTCACCGTGGGGCAGTTTTTATTCCTTTGTTAATTTTGTTTATTTTAGCCTTCGTGGCTTTCTCATGATGGACAATAAGTTTTTGGATGAGTTCAGTTGCTGCTGCCACGTCTCCTTCACGACCCCTGACTGTGATGGGGCCTTGTGTACCTTTTGCTGGGATGTGGATTCTCACTTTGTGTTTCTCAGTAATGTTGTGGATGGTATTACCATTGGGGCCAAGCACCATTTTTCTATTATGTTCTTCCACCTCTACGGTCCTTGTAACATTCTTGGCCTCCTCTTCCATTCTGGCTTTTGCTGCTGCTTCCTTCTTGGCTTTTATCTCCTCCAATTTTATCAACCGTTGTTTATGTTCCTCGATTACTGAGTGAATTTTGACAATAGCTTTGTCCACGTTTGGTCTCGATCCTTCAACCACAATGTCCCGGTGAGAATGTTATTTTGGCGGTATTATTATTTTGACCGAAAAGGTGTTTTCGATTCCTTTCAGAGTTTAGCCTTTAGGCCCTATTATTATGCCCCGGAGATCGGGGGGGATATGGTGCGTCTTTGTAATTTTGCCAGTGTCTTCCGTCGTCTGACAGGAACGTGAGTTAGCACATTCCTGGATGCTGGTTTTGCGTTCCTTTCCCGGGGTGTTACGGGAGCTTTCGGGATGTTAACCGCCTTCATTTGCGGGATTCGAACCCGTTTTGGGTGTCTTATCTACATCATCGTCGTTCTTGTGTCGCTTCGTTTCTACTTTTGTCCAGCCGTGATCGCCTGCATCCTCAGTGTGACCTGCTTTAATCTTTTTAGGTCCTTTGGTGGTAACCTTTGTAGGTCCTTTGGTGGTAACCTTTGTAGGTCCTTTGGTGGTAACCTTTGTAGGTTCTTTGGTGGTAACCTTTGTAGGTCCTTTGGTGGTAAACTTTGTAGGTTCTTTGGTGGTAACCTTTGTAGGTTCTTTGGTGGTAACCTTTGTAGGTTCTTTGGTGGTAACCTTTGTAGGTTCTTTGGTGGTAACCTTTGCAGGTGCTTTGGTGGTAACCTTTGTAGGTGCTTTGGTGGTAACCTTTGCAGGTGCTTTGGTGGTTTGCACGACCCGGGAATTCTACTTTTCAGTTGGTTTCGTTGGGTTTGTGAGGGGCACTTCAATGTGTTCACTAACAGTCGTTTGTTATTTTATGTCTGATGGAACGTTGCCGCAAATGCCATTCAGACTTGCTGCCATTACGGGCGTCCGGCCGTGACAAAGGCCGACCATTACGGGCGTCCGGCCGTGACAAAGGCCGACCATTACGGGCGTCCGGCCGTGACAAAGGCCGACCATTACGGGCGTCCGGCCGTGACAAAGGCCGACCTTCTATGCCCGCCGCTTGTAATAAAGGCCAACTGACATCATAAAGTAAACCACCATTAAAACATTTATCCCGACGCACCAAAAACTAGTTTTTTATGGGTCGGGTCTAACCCCCAGGAGCATCAGATGATACTTAATGAGGTCGACATACTCGTCAGTGTCCATCATATTTTCATCAGTTCGCAGCGTTACCACTGACAAGAGTCTCTTGGCCTCATCCACCCATCCTGGAGCGGATGGCAGCGGCGGCGTTTCCGTTCCTGATGTCCTTCTTAGGCGGCCAAGTACCAGGTCACTCAGCCATTATGTTTCCCTTCGGACCTCTTACACCTTAAGGAGCTGCTGTTTTAAATCCCGTCCATAATTCATATTATCGAACTACATAATTATAAAGTGCAGGATAACCAATACAATAAATCCCAAGGCGGATTTCATTACCAGAGTCATCTTGGAGAACCTTTTTCAGTTATATTGTTAAGAATAGTTAAAACACTGTTTGACACTCTACTTGTCACATTGATATTCAAGATGAGAAAAATCTAGTTAGGTTAGAGGAAATCTCGTCAAGTTAGAATATTCCCGTGGCTACACCCTGTGTTTGTGCGAGTGATGTGGCTACACCCTGTGTTAAGATAGAGTAACTAGAGAGCCCGGGGTAGTAGAGAGCGCGCGTAGATGGCTTAGGAAGCATACTGTAGAGCTGGGGTATCCAGAGGGTACAAAAGTAGCAGGGGTTGTAGGTACCACAGGATGTAGGGAGTCTTTGTGATCATTGGGAACACAAGGCCAACCCCCGCAAACACAACTAGGTGAGTATATACACACACACACACACACACACACACACACTCACACACACACATACACACACACACACACACACACACACACACACACACACACACACACACACACACACACACACACACACACACACACACACACACACACACACACACACGAGGAAGGAATTATCAAGGAAAAGCGCCAAGCCATTACGACTATATAGCACTGGGAAGGGGGTCAGGATAAGGATTTGGGATGGGACGGGGGAAAGGAATGGTGCCCAACCACTTGGACGGTCGGGGATTAAACGCCGATCTGCATGAAGCGAGACCGTCGCTCTACCGTCCAGCCCAAGAAACACACACACACGAGGGTGCCTGGCAGCACTTCACCATGCATTAGAGTGCAACAAGGAACACCACGTCAAGTGACAAATGACAGACGGACCTCCAGTTACCTGGTAAATCAGCGACCACTTGAATACTGCCACCCATCATATGCACTATGAAGATCTGTCTTTGCTCTCGTCTCACAGGTCTAACAACTGATTATAGTGGAATAAATTTCTTTGAATCACAGAGTGTTGTAGTTGATAGTTCCGGATGGCGAGGTCCCTCTTCCGTCATGGTTGGCCACTCCGTAAACAAATTGAACGGTTTTTGTCCAGCCAGAAACGTAAAAATCCAAGTACTCGAACATCTCGCGGCCGATATACCTGGTTGATACCTGGTTGATGGGGTTCTGGGAGTTCTTCTACTCTCCAAGCACTGAGGGTGAGTGTCATATAGGGTGAGCGGCCGATGATCTAGGAGCTGGTCGATCAGAGTGCCATCAACAAGAGTGCCACGTCAGTTGAGTGCCACGTGCACATTCAGTGCCACTCGCGCGTGCGGCCAATCTCTCCTACTTAAGAGCGAGCTAGTACCCTCACGCACCTCGGGTCGATTCCCCTACCTGCAGGGCAAGAGAATCCTTTCCTTATGGCACTTGGAGGTGTGGCACTGTCTGGATCGCATTACCTCCTCTCGCCATGACGAAGGAGTGCTGTGCCTAACTCGTTTTCAATATATATGGAAAATAGATTGTCAGGGGATTGGAGACGTTGTCTAAATGTCTTGAGATTGTCTTGAATCATCGGGGAGTTTGCGTTATTGGACTGAGCGCCAATCATATTCGAGGTATTCCCGGATAACGTCTCCCCCCCCCCTAATGCGTTACATTTCTTACGAAATCGACCAGTCCGTTAACAATGGGTTGGTTTAGTACAAATTAAAGCCCCGTAATGCTATCGGCCTATTCAATAGGCACTTTGATAGGGTTCTTGCAAGAAGTGCCGGGCCAACCGGGCTGTAGTGGATATGTGGGACTGCGGGCCGCTTCAAGCAACAGCCTGGTGGACCAAGTTATCACAAGTGAAGCCTGGCCTCAGGCCGGGCTCAGGGAGTAGAAGAATTCCCAGAACCCTCTCCAGGTATGCTCCGGCCTCGATAGATTAGATGGGTTGACTAGAATTGTAGGAGTGTAGTGAGGCAATACAGCTGTTTTTTTCGGAGTGGTAAATAGAGAGAACGGGTTAGTCTCAGTGTCTCCAATGCAATCACGAGACCCCCCCCCCCAATCACTTGGGCTGGACGGTAGAACGACGGTCTCGCTTTATGCTGGTCGGCGTTCAATCCCCGACCGTCCAAGTGGTTGGGCACCATTCCTTTCCCCCCGTCCCATCCCAAATCCTTATCCTGACCCCTTCCAAGTGCTATATAGTCGTAATGGCTTGGCGCTTTCACCCCCTGATAATTCCCTTCCCTTAAAATGTACCCCCCCCTCCTCACACACACACACATACATACACATATCTGTGGGGTTTGGTAGCTGAGCGGACAGCACGCAGGACTCTTAATTCTGTGGTCCGGGTTCGATTCACGGACCAGGCAGAAACAAATTGGCAAAGTTTCTTTCACCCTGATGCCCCTGTTACCTAGCAGTAAATAAGTACCAGGGAGTTAGACAGCTGTCACGGTCCTGCTGCTTCCTGGGGGTGTAGGGTGGAGAAAAAAAAAGTTAGTAGTTATTTCCAGTTGAATGACAGTTGAGAACTTGACAGTAGATAAAGACAGTCTATTTAACACAAGGGGAACACGCACAAGGGGACACAGGTGGAAACTGAGTGCCCAAATGAGCCACAGAGATATTAGAAAGAACGTTTTTAGTGTCAGAGTGGTTGACAAATGGAATGCATTAGAAAGTGATGTGGTGGAGGCTGACTCCATACACAGTTTCAAGTGTAGATATGACAGAGCCCGATAGGCTCATGAATCTGTACACCTGTTGATTGACGGTTGAGAGGCGGGACCAAAGAGCCAGAGCTCAACCCCCGCAAACACAACTAGGTGAGTACAACTAGGTGAGTACTTGGCGTGAAGTCACCAGTGGAGTCCCACAGGGCTCTGTACTCGGTCCTATCTTGTTTCTGATATTTGTAAATGATCTCCCGGAGGGTATAGATTCCTTTCTCTCAATGTTTGCGGACGATGCCAAAATTATGAGAAGGATTAAAACAGAAGAGGACTGTTTGAGGCTTTAAGAAGACCTAGACAAACTGAAGGAATGGTCGAACAAATGATTGTTAGAGTTTAACCCAACCAAATGTAATGTAGTGAAGATAGGTGTAGGGAGCAGGAGGCCAGATACAAGGTATCATCTGGGAGAGGAAATTCTTCAGGAGTCAGCGAAAGAAAAAGACTTGGGGGTTGATATCACGCCAGACCTGTCTCCTGCAGCCCATATCAAGAGGATAACATCAGCGGCATATGCCAGGCTGGCCAACATACGAACGGCATTCAGAAACTTGTGTAAAGAATCATT